GGTGCGTATAACACGCGTGCCTTCCTGGAGGGATGCAAGGCCGCGGAGCTGGAGGCGACAGGGCTTGCTGGGGGGCCGCGCTGGGTCGTGCCTGGCTAGGGTTGCCCCTCTGCGGGGCGGGGGCCTGGGGCCGCCGTCTCTTCCCTGTGTGGTCAGGGGACAATCAGAAGTTCTGGAAACAGAACATCCTCCTGGCCTATGTGAAGTGAGAAGGACGGGTCTGAGACAAACTAGCGGATGGGGAGGAAAACACCCCGGCCTAGGATGGGAAAGCACGGCTTTGAGTGGCAATAAGGAGTGGGGAGCAGGTGAAGCAGCAGCACTGCGTGGTGGGTTTGCTTTTGGTTTATGTGTGTTGATTACCAGTAGGTGACCCTGACAACATCGTCGCTGTAAGTGGCACGAGCAAAACTGTTCTGGTAGCATCTCACAGAATCTGAGGTCACCTTGAAACAGGCTTTGGATAGCACTGGCTCTTGGGTGTTGGTAGCCTTCGATTTTCTCATCTCTCAAACTTTCTTAGACTGGCGAGGGTTAACAGAGGGCTCCAGCCTTGGCTTGGGCTATTTAGATTTCTTTAGCGATTCTGAAGTGGAAAGCACTCAGACCACTGGTTTGCATCGTTTAGGAGCCAAAGATATTTTCACAGAATCATTAAGGTTGGAAGAGACCTTTAAGATCATCAAGTCCAACCATCAACCCAACACCACCATGCCCACTAAACCATATCCTGAAGTGCCACATCTACATGTTTTTTGAACACTTCCAGTGATGGTGACTGCAGCTGGAAGAGATTAAGCAAACTTTGTGTTTGAGTTGAGTCTGGTGATATCTTCAGAGTGATGATGTGATGAAGAGTTTAGGGGACAATTTGTTGCTTTATCTCAGAATGTAGGAATTGGGACTAACTGTTCTGAAGTGCATGATTTAGCAAGACTTGGTGATCATTGCCCCATGTAATAGATGCTTAAGTTGAAGTGCCGCTCTGTGATCATTTAAGAGCTTCCATCTTCTCACACCAGGCCTACTGCCTTAACTGGAGACCTCTGACACTTTGCCTTCCCTTTTGTTGCTCTTTCCATTATTCTTTTTGACTCAGCTTACTTATATTATTTTCATGCTTGAATTTCCCTCCTTGCTGCTTCTCTAGTCCTTTGCTAACAGGAGTATATCAGAGTAGATGGTTGTACTTCAGGTCCTCTGGTGGGCAGATGTATGTAAGTGAGGCTATGAATACGTCAGTATCATGTTATTAAACAACAGGCTCTCTGTTACCGTGCTAAAATTGACTCAGCCTTGTCCTGCTAATTACTCTTGTCCCTGCTTCATGCTCTTTAATTTTTTTATGTTAATCTTCTGGAATCAGCTGTGCAATACTTCTTCAAACAATAACTTTAAAGTAAGTGTAGTGCATTTGAACGAACCCCGCTTAATTTCTCTGGAGACTTATGTCATCACTTACTCAAACAGGTGCAGTACAGGCAGCATACAGCTTCAAGTACAGATCATGGAACTCTTAATCGTGTTCGTTACATCCCATTCTGCAAAGAATGAGTAAAGAAAAGATGCAAAGAAGAAAAAAATGGGGAGGGTTAGGAAAGTTGAGCGAAAACCCTTCTCCACGCTCTTTTCAGAGAGTGTGGATAGTGTCTCTCCTTAATAACCACGGGTTTGCCCTCAGAGTGTTTTTGTTACAGAGGTGTTTTTAGGTGAGAGATGGCTGAAGGTGAATGAGAAGCTGGTGATGTGGGATTTTCTTGGAGAAAAGAATCTGATGCGGGGAAATGATTTCTTTCCTCTCTTAAGAAGAACAGATATTGGGAGACTGAAAAGAGAATGGAGAAAAAGCTGATGGCAGTGATCAAGGGAAGGGAGTTAATACAGGAAAGCATTTGTGTGAGTCATATAGAGAAACATGGTTTATTTTATTTATTTATAAAGTTAATAGGCCATTTTTGCTAGATGGACTGTAACAACATTCATAGTTTTAAATGGGGTGAGAAATTTTCATGAGAAAAATTTCGGGGTTGCTTCCTTGACATGTTTAAGTGGTGTCTTGCCTCTGCCTTCTACACAAGGAGAAGGTATCACAGTGGGCATCATTTCTAGCAGAGGTTACGCAGTAATTTTTCCCATTACTGGAGTTTAAAGGTAGCCTTAAGCAAGCTGAGTGGGATCTGCTAATAAACTAGCCATGGTAAATTGTGGTTCAGCATAGATACTTTTATAGTCCTTATTGCTGTCTGTAGTGCCCTAGTTAGGCTGCTAATTGTTCCTGAATTAGTGTAGGTATATGTCCTGGTTTCAGCCAGGATAGAGCTGGTTTTCTTCACAGAAGCTAGTGTGAGACTGTGTTTTGGATTTGGGATAAGAAACTGTTGATAATGTGCTGATGTTTTGGGTTGTTGCTAAGCAGTCAAGGACAGTCCAGCTTCTCGTGCTGGCCTGCTAGAAAGGAGGCTGGGTGTGCACGGGGAGCTGGGAGGGGACACAGCCGGGACAGCTGACCCAGACTGGCCAAAGAGATATTCCCTACCATACGACGTCATGCCCAGTACATAAACTGGAGTTGGCCGGGGGGCGGAAATCACTGCTCGGGGATGGGCTGTCGATCACTGGGTGGTGAGCAATTGCTGTATTGGGCATCACTTGTTCTTGTACATTCCTTTGTTGGTATTATCATTGTTGTTTCTTTCTCTCTTGCTGTCCTATTAAACTGGTTTTATCTCAACCCACGAGGTTTTTTTCCTAATTCTCTCCCCCGTCCCACTGCGGGAGAGGGAGTGAGTGAGCAGCTGCGTCGTGCTTAGTTACCGTCTGGGGCTAAATCACGACAGTATAGTCTTCATATGTGGGATTATGTATTAAGAATTAGACTGACTTAATGCAACGAATGCATGACTTCAAATGCGCGATCAGTGTACGATGAGTAGTTTTGGTTGCCTTAGTTTAGGGATAGCTTGCAATACTCTGTCATCTTATTTTTGTGGCTCTCTTGTGTTTCCTTTTGCAGGAAGGTCCATCTGTCTATGTGTGCCCACTCTTCCTCGGGAGATGTCCAATGTATCCAGTTATGCCCTTCGAATGGCCCGGCTGAGTGCTCAGATATTTGGTGATGTTGTCAGGCCAACTGACTCAAAATCTATGAAAGTAGTGAAGTTATTCAGTGAGCAGCCTTTGGCCAAGCGGAAGGAGGTCTACAGCTGGTATCCTCCTCATAACACCTACCACGCCCTCATGAAGAAGCTCCGTTACTTTGGTCTCTACAGGTAATCTCCGTGCTTATGGAGTGGGAGCAGGACTGGAGATGGGAAATGAGTGGGTGTGAGTTTTGTTACAGTGAATTTTTCCTCAGGGAAAAGAGGAACATAGAAAAAGGTTTAGTTCAGAATATGGTGCATATAGAAGTACACACTTGATTGTTGGACTGAGGGCAAGGAGACTAAAATAAATGACTACTGTCTAAGTAACTTTTTCCATAATTAGAACCTTTTGTTGTAGTTATGTAGGCTTTAGGTGTAGACTTTAGGTGTAGTTATGGGCAACAAGTTATTTAAGAAATAGTTGTTGCTTTGGCTTTGTGGGAAAGGGAAGAGGGCTTTTTCATAGACAAGAGATGGGTCTGTAGTTCTGAATATGACAAATAAATGTGCTGCAAAAAGGTGATATTACCTTAACACAAAAATTGCACTAAGGCACTCTTACCATACATTCCTCAATCATTCAACAGCTAAGAAGTGAAATTTAGAAGAGAAGGAAAGTCTGTGTTAGGCTGGAGGGGCTTTTTATCCTTTAAAATAATTTAAGTTAAAATAAATTTAAGTGTGGTTTAAATAGCCTTGTTAATTCCAGCTGCATCCAAACCAGTTGTCTAATTTCTAAATTAATTTCCACAGTCTCGAGTAGAAAAAACTGCACTGCTAAAGAACATCAGCAGGAGTCAAATGCAGTCCTTTGACTTCAGTTAGGTAGCACTAAAAAAATCCCTTAGAAGTGAGGCTGCTAACCCTGTAAAGGCAAAACAGATTAATTTATATTGCTAGTATCACAATACTAGCCATCAAGGATTGCATCCAGGATACTCTTGATTTAGGTGGGCATGCAAATGGTTTCTAGAATAGCTGTTTGTTGACACAGAAAGCCTCAACGACATGTTAATGTTCTTTACTCTTCTCCTTCCCCTCCTAATCTCAAGTTTCTTTTCTAGCTGTTCTGTGTACAGAGACCTTGTAGAGGATCAGGTTTGCTGGTCAGAAATACGTAATGAAGAATCATAGAGTAAAAGGGCCTGATAATAACTCACAAGCTTTTTGTTTCTTTTTTAGAAAAGTTGTATTTAAAAATAGCAGTGCAGCAATCTTAGGCCACTTAGGATGCAGTTGTGACTTTTGAAAAATACCTTTGCACTGAAAAGGACAGGGACAGAGATTAAGTAGAATTTATTAGAACATTATTGAGGATTCATTATCTCTGCCAGCCCCTTTATCCTCCTTCCTGTTTTATTCTCCTATTAAGATTCTACCAGTAGCTGATGCTTTCTTCATAACTCATTCTGGAAGTCACCTGAGAGCATTGTCATGTACTGTAATTACTGCTCAGCATGCCCCTGTTTTCTTAGAAGCTAATGACCTGAAATTAGTATCTAGCACAGAAGCACAATGTGCTGTTGCTAGACTGCTGAGCTAGATGAGAAGGGGGAAATTCTCATTCTTGTCTCTTGCTGATTTTTATATTTTGCTGCTCATTTAAACATAGCAGATCAATAAATGCAATGGGAATAATATATATATGCACACAACATTTGTTACTGAAAAGGGCAACCTTGTTAGCTCTGAAACTACCAGAGGAAATCTTTCATGTTACTCCATCCAAAATTACTGCTAGCAGTAACACTGAATACTTTGCAGTGAGTTTTAGTATGGACTTCACTGTTAAAAAAAGTTTTGAGGGGTTTTTTTATTATCATACAGGTCAAAGAACCTTTCACATCTAGGTATTCCAAGAAATAGAGTAAACTGTTTTCTTTTCTCCCCCATCTAGGGATGAGCATCAGGACTTTAAGGAGGAGATGAGGCGACTGAAAAAGCTCCGTGGGAAGGAAAAACCAAAGAAGGGGGAAGGAAAGAGAGCTCTCAAGAAGAAATAGTGCCACTTGGACAATATAGTGAACTACTGTGGAAATGCTGGGTGACAGCTGTAACACAGACCTTCTGTTCCCAGCTGGAGAGGGCTTGGCATGTGAGCTGTGTGTGGGGCACAAGAAACACACTGAAATACTGGAGTCCACCTTGGGATTGCACTTGGGTCTTTGTGGTTTTATTCGTTTTGAATTGCTGTAGTTTAAATATACTGTATATTGTAGCATATCAGTTTGTCAGTCCTCTCATACCTAAGTAGTAAAAACAATAGTAAAAAAACCTAAGTGCTCAGGGTTTTTCTTGCAAACACCTTGAGTTATTTCCGTTTTTCTGGATCTGGAAAATTGTTTGGTTTTCTTTGTCTGTTTTATTTTCTTGGATTAATATCAACATTCTTTTGCACGTCACCACAAAAAATAAGGTTTCCTGCTTCTACTGCTGCTTGTCATCTTGCCTACTATAATGAGTTTCACTTCAGGGTTTTTTTTAAGTTGCTTTGAGAATCTATTGTTCTGGATTTTGCACTGGACAATACTTCATGGTCCGTTGCCTGCCCGCAGCACTCTCATTGTACCCTGAATACTTAGATACTTCAACAGAAAGCCTGAAATGTGAAGGCTCAAACTATTTTCCAGTTTGAGACCCCCTACTAATTAAAATACAGTATTTGTTTACTGTAATAAAAGGATTTTTAATTTATTTTGATTGCCTGGAGTACATGTATGAAGTACTTCATAAAGTGATGAAAATTTTTACTGCTATTCAGTATGTGGTTGTATCGCGAAGCTCCTTTAGTATTGCTAATATTAATGATTGCATACATCTACCACTCTTATTTGTCAGTCCCTGTCAGGGAACAGAAAGTACAGAATGCAGCTGTGCTGCTCTGCCTGGCCACGTGTGTTTCTTGCCTGTGTGTGCCCTGAAACGGCATCTTTTTAATTTCCAGACCATGTAAGCTTAGAGGAACAACCTTGACGTAGTAAAGGAGAGCTATTAAAAATGTAGAGTGGAGCAGAAAGTATTTGCACAAGTAGCTTGGGGTATGATTGATTTTGCATGCAGGGGCATTTTGAAGTAGAGAGCAGTACTAACCGACTGGCATTTCTAAACCAAGCTTGTTCAAATTTAGGTGTATTTGACAGGATCTGTCTGATTACTGAAATCAATGGATCTACATAAATTTGTAACAGCTTAACGACTGTACTTGACCCAGGTTATTAATTGAATAAGTGCTGGTTATATTAAAGGTGTTTCTGGTGAGCTCTGTAGTTCTTGTTCAGTATCTTCACTGAGTGTTACCTGGTTTTCTAAGCTTGGAGAAGCTGATTTTGGGAGATATGCAGTGTTGGAGAAGCACCTGAGTTCTTAGCACAGGCAACAAAATGTAAAGTAGAGGTAAAATATTTTACTGTAGAAGTAAAATATTTATCTGTTCCATAATGTAGCAGTAAGTTTCTCTCTTACTCTAATTTAAAATCCTTTTAGTAGCTTATAACTTCTGTTCAACTCTAACATGCCTATGGCATTTTTGTGTTCTATGTGTTGTCTATGGGTTGTGGCTTGTCTGGTACTGAAGTATACAGAGCCTGTGACGGGCCCTCTGAGAAGTACTTTGTTCCTGGGACACGTGCGTGCAGCCAAGGGGAAGCAGTCTGGTTCCCTTGAATTCCTCCTCAGGAAGAAGAACAGCATGGAACCACATACTAGGTAGGAGAGGGAATTGTCCAAGTAGGAAGGCTGCTGCTGCCTGACACTGTGTTTCTGGCTCTGAGGGGTGAAGTTCCTCAGCTGCTTTGGTGGAGAGGAAGACCAGTTCTGAAGCACTTCAGCAGAATTACTGCAGCAGTTTTGGACAGCCGGTGGTTGTACAATCGGCAGCTTTGTCGGCAAGAACTTCATATCTTCTAAAATTAAACCAAAGATCAATAAAAATGTTTTCCCTGCAATTCAAGATGAAAAATAAGAGCAGCTTTTTTGTTCCTGTGAAATACCTAAAGCTTTTAACAGTATAAACATGCCAGAGAGAGAAAGTGTATTATGGTCCTGTTGCAGTAAAGTAAATATGCGTGGCCTTAAACTTTGTGGCGGGGGGGAGATCTGGTTATGAGTATACAAATAACGATACAGAAAATACTTACATGATTGGCCGTGGTTATGCTTCTGAATCCACATTTAGCCTGCTTAAGGACTGGGCATCTACAGAGCCTACTGAGGGCAGTGAATGCTACAGGTGTTCTGTAGCTTAGCATGCCACCTTGCTAGACATAGATACAGTCTCAGCAGTGTTCTATTAAATAACTAGGCTTGGGGATCAGATCTATTCTTCCTTGTCTACTCCAAGCCACCTAGCTATTTATAGATTTTGAGAAGTTCCCATCATAAGCAGGAAAGCGAAGGGCTCGTTTGGCTAGTGATCTATAATGATCACCTTTTGTCTGCAACCTACCAGGGCAAACCTGCTCTAGAATCAAAGCATCACCCTGGGAACATACTTTGGGAAGATGACTACAGCAGCATATCCAAAAAGGAAACGAAACTGATGGAAGTGCCTGTGAACTAAGCAGATGTGAAACAAATGGACTGAATTGTTGATTTTTATCTTTTCCCCACAGTGTTCACAAAAGCAAAGTGGATGGAATGAAAAATGATAACTTTTAAAAGGGGTGGTATAATTTCAACAAAGGTTCCCCTGCCTAATTTTTCATGTTCTTTCTTCTGTAGTACTCATTCACTAGAACTAGGTCTTCTCAAAAAAGTCTGTTTCCCCTCCCCTGAGACTTCACCATAAAATAATGATGATTCAGCCACTTTTTTACTTTATCCTAGTATTGGGATAATCTGTTGAGTGTTAGTGTAACTATTTTATTCCAGAAAATATAGCTTTCTCCACTCCATAGCTGGGACAGAAATAAGCACTTTCTACCTCCCTTCTAACCCATGCTCTGTCACTTAGGAATAGACATTGCCTGAAGACAGCTGCGTTTCGTGAATCACAGGGTCTAGGCAAATTGGAAGTCAATCCTGAGACGTCATGCCAGGTATTGGCGCAGTATGTGCCTTTAGGAGGGGAAGGAGAGGTTCAAGCATATTCTGAGGGATACGGATGGGATATACCAATGCTTTTTGCAGCTATCGGTATAGTGGTGTATCCATTTTATGTATAAATAATCCAGTTCAATTAGATTTTTATTTTGGGCTTTCCCTTCACATTGATTCATTTCACCAGTCAAACTCTGGTGTGTTTTCATTACAAAATTCACTCTCTTCCTGAGGCTGCGAGCTGACCTTAGCAGGGGTTTAGATGGATGTTTTAATTCTTGATCGGAATAAGCCTGGTTAGCTGATCTCCGAGGAAGAGTCAAAACCCTAACCTCTTCCCAATGCCGAACAGCTTTAATGAGTGGTACTGCTTCCTTATTTTACAGTGCTTTAACTATGTCTGTCTTTAATTATACACTGGTATAATATAGTCATAGTTGCTGAGTACTGCCTTGAAGTAACTTACAAGTTATTTTGTAACAGGCTGACCCAGTTGCTGTATATGTCCTATAGGGAGGGCAGCTATTGCTATAACCTCTTAATATTGGAAATCCTGCAGACAGGCAGAAGTTCACTTGCATATGACCATATGTTTTAATGGTGGAAGGAGAGAAAAAAAAAAAAAAAAGCAGTGTTGCTTTCTGGCAAAGGTACCAATGTGTTAAAGTATAGATACATGTGCTCTGCTCAGGAAAGCATTGACTTGAAAGAGGTTTCTCCTAATACGTAAAGAGTTTATTCTACTTATTAAAGCAAAGCGCTGAGTTTACACAGGTCAGCGAAATGCACCCGAGTTATTCTATGGTTTCAGTCAAAAGCTTTGTCTTACTTACCTGCGTTTCCTCAAGAGTAAAATTAGAATAGCTATCACTTAGTGAATAGTGTCATGAGGGTAAGCTGCTTCTAGGATGGGAATTTACCCCAAGAGAACCTTGTGTAAAGAACGGCTTAGTCTGGCTATGGTAGGACTTGTACCTCTGTATTTCAGAGAGCTGCTTTCATGCAATAGTTGATGACATTTTTAACTTAATGTGGTAAGTTACTGTGTTCACTGTTCTGCTTTAGATGTTAGAGGCTTCAAATGCTGAAAAAAAATCTTGATTTGGTCAGAAAGTAAAAATTAAAAAAAAATCATAGATATTTCTTAAGCTAAAAATATTTTTGAAATTTTAAAGCATCTGTGTACATATTCCTCTACCACTTTGACTTCGAAGGCCATTTTAGGATCATTTTAAAAAACAACAATCAACAAAGTCTATATGTTTCAGAAAAGCTTCATGAATCTGGAGGGCTGCTGTGATGAGGGAAAGACTGTGTTTTGTATGTTTTTTCTTTCTTTTAAAGCACAAAGAATAATACGCAAAGAAAACAAATGCTATGGGAATTTCAGATTAACTCCTTTAAACTCAGGTCTCTGTAACTGTTTGATTGTGACACTTCTTGTATAGTCCCTTGGGAGCAGATCCCAGAAACAAAATCCTTCAAGGGGATGTTCTCTCTTTGTCATCTTGGTATTGAGATGTGCGAGAGCAGAAACTCTTCCTGTTTAACCTCTAATAGGGGCAGCATCATTTCTCTAAACTGTCCAAATAACAATGGAAAACTCAAAGGTTCTAATAATAATTAATAATAAAAAAGATTTATTAGGCATATAAGAGGAAGCAGAAATGAAAACAATACCCTTGTAAATCCTAGAGGTAAAACTTAAATGATGCGTGTGGGCCAGATATTTAGAATGGATCTTTCTGTGCCTGCGCAGCTGGGGTAGCATGAGGAAAGGAATTTTTGCCTTTTCACTTCCTTCTCCTCCTCACTTTTCCTTGTTCTTTTCCTCACGTGTAATAATAATATGTCTTGAGTACAGAGAGGAAGGAACAGATGTGAAAACATTTGAAAGAATATGCTTGTGAAGGCTCAGTCACAGCAGAGCACAGCTATAGTGTGTCCAAATGGTGAGGAGCATGACTGTAGACAGATATTGGAGGGACATCACCACCACACTGG